AGCCCTTGGATCATTTTTGTAGCCCTCCTCTGGCCCCACTCCAACAGGTCCATGTCCTTCTTGTGCTGAGGGCTCCAGAGCTGGACACAGGGCTCCAGGTGAGGTCTCCCCAGAGCAGAGCAGAGGGGCAGAATCACCTCCCTGGCCCTGCTGGCCACGCTTCTCCTGACGCAGCCCAGAGTATGGTTGGCCTTCTGGGCTGCCAGCGCATATTGCCAGCTCATGTCCAGCTTTTCATCCACCAGCACCCCCAAGTCCCTCTTGGCAGGGCTGTCCAGATCTCTTTGGATGACATCCCGTCCTTCTGGCGTGTCAACTGCACCACTCAGCTTGGTGTCATCCGCAAACTTGCTGAGGGTGCACTCGATCTCACTATGTCATTGATAAATATATTAAACAGCACCAGTCCCAATACAGACCCCTGAGGGACACCACTGGTCTCCATCCAAACATCGAGCCATTGACTACTAACCTCTGGATGTGACCATCCTACCAATTCCTTATCCAAACAGTCCACCCATCAAATCCATCTCAAATTACCTCCCTGGCCTCCATGTGCCTTAGCATAGCTTCTAGGAGGATCTGTTCCATGATCTTCCCAGGCACAGAGGTGAGGCTGACAGGTCGGTAGTTCCCAGGGTCTTCCTTTCTACCCTTTCTGAAAATGGGCACAACATTTCCCTTCTTCCAGTCACCTTAATAAAATCCACTTAAAATCTGGAAAAGAACATTTGAGGTTGGTTGCTGCCCTGCTTCCGCCGTGGGTGATGCAAGACTCTGGCCCTCACCCTCCCGCTTCTCCTTGCAGCACCCCCTTGCAAATTCATTTCACAGCACACTCTGTGCCAGAAGGAGCACCGGGCTGTGGCCAGGCCCCTCCAGTTCTGCTCTAAACCCACACTGCTCCCAGGGGAGAAGAGGCTGAGCCAGGGAGAAGTTACCTGCTAGCCCAGAACTGCTCTCCAGATGGACAGAATCCAACCTCAGTTCAGTTGGAAGCCAGCTGAGGGTTCCATCCAGTTGCTCAGCTGTAACAAGGATTTTTCTGAGGGTTGCTTAGGTTCTGTTGCTTTGATTTTGTTTGGTTTTCAGATTTGCTGAGCATTTCCAGCCCTTGCTGAATCCTTTGGAACCTGCAGGTGATCCATACCTCAAAAAAAAAAGTGCTTAAAAACAAAACACTAAACTCATTTCATTGTCTGAGAGACAACTACTCTTAAAATACACTTTTCACTTTATTAAAGGACAAAAAAAATAAAGAGAAAAAAAGTGAAGTCACTGACATGTCTGTGTCATTCTCAGATAAAAGATGCAAGCCCCGAAAGTTGGAGGCACTTGGATTTATTAGACAGTCATACACAGCCAGATCTTACCAGTGAGTGTCCATCAGAGACTCTCACAGCTACTATGTCAGAAAAGGACATCACAGCAGGATTTGCAAAGAAAGTTAATATTAGAAGGTTTAATAGAACATATATAGAGACTGCTAGCACAGACATTAATGGAGGCATACCTCCGAGCACTGGCCTAAGAAGACAGCTGGTTCTCTTTTATTTATGGTCACTATTCAAAACATTTGTTACACTGTCTTATTAAGTGACTTGCTTTTTCACCGAGCTTCAAAAGCTGCTGCTTACTCTACTCTCCTTCCTCCTCTTCCCCTGTTTTTCCTTAGCTGATACTGCTTCCTTTGGAAGAAGCTTCTTTGTTCTGGTTAGACGGGAACTCTTCTTTTTTGGCAAAGGTGGTGCTGGTGTAGCTCTGGAAGTGTGTGCGACCTTCTCTTCCTGCTTTGGCTTGCGAGGTTTAGCCTCAGCTTTGCTTTTCTGTCTCTTTTTACCAGATAGAGCTGGTTTCACTGTGGATGCTTTTGTTTTGGTGGATGAGGTCTTTCTAGCTTTCTTAGAAGAAAGTATTGGGATGGTTGCAGTGCGGGTAGAAGATTTTTTCGGAGGCCTTGTTGTTGAAGGTTCATTAAGCAGCTCAAGGACAGTCTCTGAGGAAAGTAATTAACATGGTTCAGCATCCCTACATTAAGGCAAAAGGCTAATTCAGAGATTTGGCTGATATAAACCTGTATTAGAGCAACAGTTAAGAACAATAGCTGACATTCTAGAAGAACAACTATATACTATATATACACACCTCTTTTCTTCTATCAAAGGAGCCTTGGGTTCCTCAGAAATAAGATTTGTTGTTTAGAAGCGATGAGTATGTATTTAAGGAAAATAAGTCCAGGCAGAATATGATGAAACCTTGCACACTTCGTTGGCAGAGTTAACAATATGAATTTTTCATGTTACACTAATGTCTGGAAATCCCACACAAGATAACCTCAACTTGCTAAACACTGTTTCTACTCAATAATAAGATGTAACCCCTGCCCTAGTTGCCCAGGATGCAAAACAGAAAGAGGCCAGGAGAAAGGAAGATTGGCGCCCCTGGATTTACAGAGAGGGGATCATTTGATTCAAGGAGCTTGTCACAGAGCCAGGGATGGGCATGCAAAACTTCCCAGACCAAATCCATTGCCTCAGTTGAAGCCATCAGTTCCCTTGTGATGCCCATTCACACTATTACATGGCAACACTTACCAAAAAAAAAAAATAAAATCAGAGACTGGGATTAGGAAAAGGCATGCCATCTAGTAGACAACAGAAGCACACATTAAATGTGATAACCTAACTTCAAGATTGCTCCTGCTCAGTACTTTAGTTTTTAAGACTGCTAAAGATTTCAATCACATGCCTGTAAGATGGTTATGTGTTTTGCTTCTCAGTAAAATTAAGGCCTAACAACTTACTTGCATGTGGAACAAACGGTATCCGTTTACTCTTTGTTTTCACTGGAACAGGCTTGTATTTACACTTCCCTGGTGGAGCTCTCCTTGAAAAACAGAAAACCATACGCAGATATCAGAGATTGTTAAGGAAGTTTATTTATTCCAGAGGCACACATCAATCCCCCATTGTCATTCACCTCTGCTGGAAAAGGCATGAAAGCACTTTAGGCACCTGGAGTACAACGTAAGTGGAATTTAAGAGCCTGATTCAGGACTGCAAGCCTTAAAATCCCTGTCTGAATAGCAATAGCAGCTGGAAGGCTGCAGCTTCTTTTCTACCACCCTTCTGGTCAACTTGCTGCCATCAGGCAGTCTGGACTGTCTTTATCCAACATCAATAGCTGGTTTGTTTGTTTGTGGGACGCTGGACTGCCTGCACGAACTTGTAGCCCACCACTGAATTCAAGGGTGCTGATTAGGTGTATTCAGCTGCATGTCCTGCTGCTGGAGGTACAGCACAATGGTGTTTCTAGAATCCTTGAGGGCACATAGAATCATAGAATCATTTAGGTTAGAAAAAGACCTTTAAGATCATCAAGTCCAACAGTTAACCTAGCACTGCCAAGTCCACCACTAAACCACGTCCCTAAGCACCACATCTAGATGTCTTTTCAATACCTCCAGGGATGGGGACTCCACCACCTCTCTGGGCAGCCTGTTCCAATGCTTGACAAACCTTTTGGTAAAGTAATTTTTCCTAATATCTAATTGAAACCTCCCCTAGCACAACTTGAGGCCATTTCCTCTCATCCTGTCACCCATTACCTGGGAGAAGACCCCAACACCCATCTTGCTACAACCTCCTTTCAGGTGGTGGTAGAGGGCAGTAAGTTCTCCCCTCAGCCTCCTCTTTTCCAGGCTGAACAACCCCAGTTCCCTCAGCCGCTCCTCATATGACTTGTGCTCCAGACCCCTCACCAGCTTCCTTGCCCTTCTCTGGACATGCTCCAGCACCTCAATGTCCTTCTTGAACTGAGGGGCCCAAAACTGAACACAGTAGTAGAGGTACAGCCTCACCAGTGCCAGAAGGCATGTCAGTGCTTTCCACTCATGGTGCAGCATAAGGATCTCTTACACACACAACAGAATATTCCCACAGAGTCCCACAAAAGTTAGTGTGACCTCCAAAGCATGCTGCTTTGGACACAACACCGTGCTGCAGCAAGAGTGGTGAGAAAGGAAAGGAACAGGCAAAGAGGGAGAAAGCAACAACTGCAAAGAAAATGTATCAGCGTTCCTCTCCTGCTGTTTTCTGACAACTTCTCATAGTACAAAAGCACCCCCCCCAAAAAAGCACCTTTTCCCTGAGGTAAAAGCTGTCACATGTTAAATGACAGGAAGGGAGGTATGAAGAGCAGCAACAGACCTGTGTTTTCTGTTACCCACCAAGAGAACTGCTGTAGGACAAAAAAATAACAGGCTCCTCCAGTTTGGCAGCTTGACAGCACAAAGCAGAGCAAAGCATGACCTAAGGCATCACATTTTCTTATGATTAGCATTCTCCCTCAGACAGGGGCAACAGCCAAGTGCTTCCTCCATACCATTTCCATACCAACCAACCAAACAAGGTTACTAAAGCAGGTTTGTTGGCATTGCTTATGCATTTGGGGTTTTTTGGGGGGTGTGGAGCGCAGGTTTCCCCCCCTCTCCTAACTTTTAAAGCACCTTCTAACCTCTCTTCCCTCTGCTCCTGACTGAGGGGATTTGGTGCCCATCCAGGCAGAGGGATGCCAGCCACTCTGCTGTTTCCAAGAGTGCTGCTGGAAAGGCAAGCTGAAGTGGGGACATGAGGCACTGCTGCCAGTTTTCCTGGGAGATTCCTAGGCAAGTTTAAGTTGCCATTAGGTAGATGGCAGTGGCCCTGCCAACGTTTTGAAGCAGGCGTTTCTGTGGCTTGCTTGCCCTTGCCAGCGTGCTTGCTGAAGTGCGGGCAGGAAGCAGGGAGCGTCTGGGCTGGACAAACTGAGACTGCACCCAGAGGCATCAGAGGAGCCAATTATCCCAGCCACCTCTTACAGTGAGTCAGAAATGGAAGAATCCTATAAACAGCACTAAAATGCAAAGGAGAAAGGAAAAATCTCCGCTCCTGATACAATCAGGAGAAGGCCAGAGTACAACCCAAGATCTGGAGGTTTTAGGACTCTGCTCCAGGGCCAAGCAAGCTCAGCCTCCAGAGGAGCAGTCAGTGCTTTGCACACCCCAGACAAGCTTGCAAAGCACTTAAGCAAACAGGCAAGGGCAAAGCTGAGCAGAGCAGCGGCCGGGCTAAGGTAAACAAGGGGAATCAGAAAATACAAGAGTAAATTCCAAAGAGCCAAGGGACTAAGCGCCTGGTCCTGCTCTAGAAGTGATGGATATGAAGGTCCAGAAGCACAGGGAAGAGCTGTCTTCTTTCCAGAAAGCCCTTTTGAGCAGTGAAACCATCACAGCCCTGGCAGGGGCTTGCTTCCCCCCTGTGGAGCCATCATAACATGGTGCATTACTGCACACCAGTCCTCATGCAGGCAGCCTCCTGGAAAGGCTCCCACAGGCTCCTTGTGAAACAGAAAGCTGCATTTCTCCTTTTGCAGTGGGAAAGAGGAGAGGATTTATCATCCTGATAGTCTTCACAGAGCACTGAGGAGTGGCATAGGGACTGCAGGACTTTTTTTGTGAAATGGAGCATGCTCAAGCTCTCAATGTTTATGCTAGCTCACGATTATTTTTTTTTTTTTCAGTTGAAAATGTTACATTTTGGTCAGCCACAGTTAATGCAGTTCAAAGGCTTCCTGGCAAACAATAAGCTGTTAAAGGCAGGAGTCTTCTCAAGGAGTTACAGCCAGTAAAAGACTAAAGCTCCTATTCCCATCACGTCGGCATAGAGCTCAAATTAACTATCTAAGACTTGGATTTAACTTTCCAAGAAAAAATATCTTGTTTTCTTCATTTTGCTAGTGTCAGAGATCTCAGCAACAGCACAGACATCCCATAGATACAGAGCTGATGTGATCTGAAACTCATTTAATGCTTTTTAGCAAGAGCCAAAAGCTTGGGAGGGGAAAGTTAAATGAGCATGCTTATTATTGTAAAAACAGACTTCAGCAGGGATAACTGCTTAATGGGGAAAAACATTTTTCTTGGAAAAACTCAGGTTCAGGCTCCAATTATTATTTGAACACTGCATGAAGGTTTCACTCTTCTTTGTGAAGAATTTTAAACTGTGGGCTGCAATTTATTTATTTATTTATATGAAAGTGCATTGCAGTATTTGATGTCATGACCCTGAAGGATATGGACTGTCATTTTTAAAACACCATTGTGCTATACTTCAGATATGCAACCAAGGAGACATTATTTTGATCCTTATTGTCCCAGACTTTTAAGATATCTGAACTCTGTCTATTTCTGGGTGCACAGATATGATGAGTGAGGAATAAATCCACTAAAACTGATTAAAGTTGCACCAGATGTACGGTGGGTGAACAAAAACCAAGGACTGGATGTGGAGGTCAGTGAGATTATGTATCAGTAACACTTGGCATTCTTTCTACTGTGATAGCTGGAGATCGTATAGTGATTATAGAAGCATTTGGCATGGGAAAACACCTTTAATTACTAACCTTGAAGGATCAATAAACTTGTAGAGCGATCCGTGTGGTGCATAGGCACTGGGGTAAGAAGTAGACATAAAATACAGTTCACCTAAATGGAAGTGAAAAAAGAAAATCAGTCTCAGATTCAAGTGCCCAAGCCGAATCCCTGTTCTCCATTTCCCTCTCTTTCCTGGCTCTTCACTAATTCACATGGTCAGAAAAGAAAACCCCTTCAGTCACTCCCTCAGTCATGTCTTACTTCCAAGAAGCGGGCTTTGGTCTCACCCAAGTGATCTCTTGGTTACAGCAGGGTTCTAGGCAGAACCAGCAGCTCTCTCAATTGAGCACAGTGCCTGAGCAGGACCTTCATTATCTCATGTCAGGGGCCCTCCAAAAGTTTACTTTCCTCTGTATAAATATGTATTTTTTTAAACTTGTTTGTACCAAAGAAGCAGCCAGAAGCTACAAATAAAGGGGAAGACCGCAAAAACAAATGTTGAGCCATCTCAGTCATACCAAAAAAATCCAACAAGCACCAAATTGGCTAATCCATGGAAGACAGAAGCTTCTTATTCCTGCGTGCTCGCTGAGGAGACCAACTACTCCTTGTGCCTTCCCTTCAGCACCCAACTAAAACAATATCCAGGCAAATTATAATAGCTTGCAAAAGAGGCAAAACCATTGTCTTTGAAATTACATGAAGTCACCACATTGGTTTCTAAAAGAACAACCAGTAGAAGAGACATTTAACATCCACTCACTCCACATGTTAGAATAGTTGAAACATGTACATACTTAACAACAAAGCCTGCATCTTTGACAGAATATCCTGGCTAGATGAGCTAGGATCTTTTCATTACAAGCAAATCTCTCTTCTGCTGAATCGTGAAAAATCAGAGCTCACTAAAGCACAAGTGTTCTCAAAAAAAACCTTGCAGTCACTTTTTGTATTACATAGCTCTCTGCCAGGAGACTGTACAAAAGTGAACAAATTATGCATTGGTACTTTCACCTTGGTAAGATATCTGATCATCATGACCACAGCAATAATCCTATGCACTGAGACATTTCTAAATTTTAAAATGATTGGCTTCCCTCATCCCCCAAAAGCCTTGGTCTGTACTGCTGCTGTTGTGAATAAGAGTGAGGAATTTATACTAATGAAGCGGGGGAAATTCAGGTAAGCTGTAGGAACTCAAGTGAGGATAAGCTGTTACAATGAAAGAACAAACTGCATTGATACAGTCTTTTCATTAATGAGAAAGCATAAACAAACCACAACCAAAAGGACAGGGGAAGGCTGAAACAGGAGTTCAAATTCCTTAGAGAATCTGGAACTTTCAGACTGCAAGTTCACATGAGGATCTGTCTCCTGAGCTCTCCATCAAGCCGATCTGCAGTAGCCTCACAGGGCAGGAGGCCTCTTTCCAATAAAGGTATGGCTAGCACAATACCTACCTGCTTCATCCTCAGCAAATGAGATTATGAATTTGCTGTAAGAACTGATCATCCCAGGGAAAGCACAAGCTCTTGTGCTGCCAATGCAGATATCTTGCTTCTTCCACTTATTTGCCTTCTCATCTTCCTGTAAAGCCATAAGTCGACTAGATGAAAAATAAAACCCTGTGTTTTATGTTTCCATTTTCAAGATTAGTTCCTGTCAAAGTCATACATTTCTGAAAAAAAAAGTGTGAGGACCCTGACTATTGACTAGCTTTAATGGTTGTCTTTTGGAAAACTAGACCTCAATGAAAGCAAACCCAACCTAAAGGACTCTAAATTGGAGGAAGTTTAGATCCCAACCAAAATGTCATTACAATAGTCAAACAGAGCACTTAATCTAATACACAGACATCTCAGATTCTTATTTACTCCAGCTTAAAGGGTTTTGGGATGCTCTGATATGCTTATTTGCCCAGATAAAGCAAATGTGGGTACGGAATGAAAGCTGAAGAGAAAACAATTAGTCTCACCCATTCATGAAATCACCAAAAATGTAAAGGCCGTTCAAGTTGGGTGATTCACATCCTCTGTATATATAACCTCCAGTGACTGACTTCCCCACATTGCGGCCATATGCAAATATTGGAAGAATGTCATCTGTTAAACACAGAACAATAAAATGTGAGAAAATTTACATCCAGAGAGCATCAAAAAGCAATTGCTTAATGATACCAACAGGCACAAAAACGACTAGAGGGACCAGTACAGCTGAACAAACAGCATAGTTACATTTCAGTGGGAATTCAGTTATTTATTCCAGGACAGAACAGACCCAAAGGCCTTAAGGAGCTCTCATGTAGTTGCTTATCAAGGCTTATACATGATAAGCTTCCATAACACATCAGACCAAGATTCTCTGCATCAAGCAAGCAACACAGGAATGTATCAGCCTGCAGGAAGTATTATCTTACAGGTTTGTGATTGCACCGATCATTTTAGCAGGAATTGTCTTTACAAGTTCCAGTGTTTTTAGATAAGGGAATAAGATCAAACAACTGCAAGTTAACATCTTGATAGGTTTGCTGACATTCTCATAATGCGTAAGTGTGCTACTCCCATTTTATGTCATGAGACTTATTAAAGGCTTTGCCTCTGGCAATGTTAAAATTTAATTCAGCCCTATTTTGGGTTGAATATCAGATCCCACAAAATTTTAAGTCTTGTCCTCACTTTTTTCCCCTGGATCAAGTAGCTTGTCTTTAATCTTTAATGATGAGAATAAAAATCAAAAATGCAATTCAGTAAAAACCATAGATTAACAGCAAAATCTAATTCAGTTTTGTTGTTAATCGAGGATTGGGCTATTAAAAAAACAACCAAACAAAAAAAACTTGAGCGCCATGTGGGTACCAGCATAGCAGAGGAGAAACGTTGATAACATACTCTACACTTGCCTGGTCATACAAATGTTTCAGAAACATCTACATGAGCTTGAGACCAGGTGTTTTCTTCCAACAGCTTAAGGAACACTGTAATACCACCCAGTTCTTCTACCATGCTTTCCAAAGAGGTTTATGAAGACCATCAATATCTACTCTTTTCTAAAGGCAGCAAGCGAGTTTTCCATCACACCTGGTCAGCCCCAGGGCACAGGTTTTGGGTGTTCTGCTGCAGCACCCCACTGACTAGGACACACTGCCTCTTCCATAGGATTTGTTTCAGTGTCAGCCTAGTCCACTTTCCTTAGCCATAGCTCAGAGCTTCTGAAGGAAACACAGTATTGCTGTTCTACTTAAACCCAATCCATTGCCTTCTGACTTCACTTGGAAAACTGTCTCCAAAAGACACAGGCTTTGTCCCTAAACACTTTGTCCAGTGCAGTGTATGGCAGGGAGTTCCCTGAGTAAGCAGGGTGTCACTTCAACACTGCAGGGCTGGGGAGAAGGGATTTCTGCTCTTAAGAAGTAAACAATCTCCATTTGACACACAACACTGGATTATTTGGTTTCACTGGGAAGACAGTGCTGTAGTCCACTAAATACACACGTATAATAAAGTAATTTTCTATAAGAAACTTCTTCCTTACCCAAAGAGGAATTGTGGCAAAGCTTTGTGTCGTAGCATTCAAATCCCTCCTTTGCTCTCCAGCCGTAGTTCCCTCCTTTAACAATGATGTCGATTTCTTCAAACCTATTCTGCCCAACATCCCCACAGAATATCCTCCCTCTTCCCTTTGTTGTGACAGGGTCCCCTCTGTCAACCGCACAGCGCCACATATTCCTGACCCCATAAGCATAAACCTCTGGGCAGGCCTTGGGATCAGACACAAATGGATTATCAGGAGGGATGCGGTAAGGCTTTCCATCGGGGCTTTTTCCATCCACATCAATCCTCAAGACTTTCCCCAATAAAGTACTCCTAAAGAGAATGACAGAAAAAGAAACCCCAGCATGAGAGCCAACAAAAACCACAAACAATTCTCTCCCTCTTCCCCCTTTCCAAAGGAAAAGTTATCTGTCCAAAAGAAATAAACCAGTGGCTGGTATGTCTTGCAACCTGCTCAAGTCACAGAAGGCTCTCCCCTCTCAAAACAACTTGGGTTCCCTCAGCTTTCAAAATGTAAAATTTTCATTTTTGAAATACCGCATCGGACAGGATTGCAGATGTACAAGCACTTTCAGGAAGCACTCTTTATTCTTCCACATTGTCTCATTTCCAAACCTTGTATCTTGGTAAACAAGGTCAAAGCTTTCACCTGCCCTCCTACTTACTTGTTCTGAGCATTCCCAAATTTTCCAAAAGGGTCTCCAGCTTTCCCTCCATCCCCTGTGAATAGATACATATAGCCATCCACACCAAAGAGCAGCTGCCCACCGTTGTGATTTGCAGCTGGTTCTTCAAGCTCCAAAAGATTCCTAAAGAAAGAGAAATAACTCCAGATGTAGCTATTGGAAAGGGCTGAGCATTCAGCCAAGCTGAAGAAATATTGCATCCCTTCTTTTACAAAAAAAGAGAAAGATTTCCCAGCTGTACAGACCCATCAGCTTTGTCAAACATGGTGCTGAGTTGCAACCCATTTCCTGTGAGCCTGCAGCATGAGGCTGTCTGCCTACCTTACAGCAGAGCTCCTTTCTGTACAGCATCCCTTGAGGAAAGGTGCCTCCCATGAGCCATGTGGCACTACGGCTGCCCCATGCACTACAGTTTTGGCCTGCACAGCATTAACACCTCTTGTGCTGCAGAGCTCGCCCATCACCACAAGCACAGGAGTATTACAGCTCACCTGAAAACATGACTACCAATATATAAGGTATTTGTCTGCAGGAAACGCTTGTTGCCCTTTAAACTTTGTGGCAGGTGGGTTGGTGAATTCAAGGGCTTCAGAAGCATGTTATGGTGATTGTGAAACTTTAAAAAAAAGTAACTCCATTACTAACAAATTCTTCTCCGTAACAGAGAATTAGCTTTTTTTCTTAGCAGGGGGACAGGGCAGGGGCACACGTGCTGGGTCAAATAAACATCTAGTACTATAGTGAAGCATCCCTGTTTTCCTACAGTACAAAACACTTTCAGGGCAGATTTTAATTCCACGATAGGCTTAAAGCTATTACTGCTCTTTAGAAGGCAAGAGTGCAAGACAGAGAAGACAACCTGGAAGCCTAGATCCTGGGTCCTCCTTTCAGTCTCTTTTTAGTTTGCTGTGTGACCTTGAGCCAACCCATCTTCTGTAGCTTTATAGCAGCCCAGTCACACACCTGAACCAGGGTGACCAGGAATGTGCAGCTTCTGCAAGGGGGAAGGAGAGGTACAAAGAAAAATAATTTCTTGTCGTGGCATACGATAGCATTCAATGTGAACTTTACCTTTCTGAGAGCGGATCAGCTTTGTTGACATCAGATGCCAAAACCTTCAATTCACTGATCCTGATCTTTTCCACCTGGTTCTTATCCATATATGAGTAATAGATATAAAATTTCCCATTGTACTTGTACTTGGGGTGGAAAGCCATCCCCAGGAAGCCCCTCTCATCCCCTATCCACGGTGTAGCCAGCACTATACTTTTAATATCCAGAAAGGGCTCCTCCAGCCGGCTGCCATCGGGTAGGTAGACCCAGATCACGCCCACCTGCTCTGCTATGAACATGCGGTGGGTATGGTCATTCGCATGCACCATGAGCACCGGGTTCCTCAGGCCATTGGCAACCTCGGTCAGACAGAGCTGGAGGCAGCCTTTGCGGTCTTCCACCACCGAGCCCAGGTTGCGGTTGAGGGCTGTGTTCTTCAGCACATTGGGGAAGCAGTAGTCCTCATCATGTAGGTGAAGGAGGTTGCAAAAGCGAGTTTTATTTGTCTCACAGCATTCTTGGACATGCTTATCACTCGTCAGCAGGCTGATGGCAGAGCGGCAGTTGAAGTGAAACTCAGAGCAGTAGTCAAAACAAAGTCCTGGGAGGTTTCTTAGAGGTGTCCGAGGGTTTTCTGCATCATAGAGATGTGCAGCATATGGAGAACATTCCTAGAAAGTAAAAGAAACTAAATATGTGGCTGTGTACATGCATCCAGGAGAAGCCAAGACACCTCCATGGAAGCAAGTCAGTTAATAAAATAAAAAATTAGTAAGGCAGAAAACATAATGAGTAATCTTGAAGTGAAATAGTAGAAAGTCACTCAGAATATTGCTAAAGGGGATTTAGAGGTCAGTAGTAGTTTCCTTTACCAAAGCAATCAGCTGCACCTAAATTATTCCGAACAGAAGTAGGTCTATGGACACTGTGGATTCTCCATGACTAGAGGTTTTTAAGGAAGTGACAGGCAAGTTCTTTTTGCAATCTGTTCTTACCTTTGTTTTTAGAAATCCCACTTAGCTTCCCCTGCTAGATTTTTAACTAGGTACTTTGTAACCTGTTCTGAACAGATCGAGAGAAGAATCTGTTAACTCCCTCACTGCAGCATCCCTTTGTACTGTGGATATCGTGAGCCTTCAGACTTCTCCAGACCAGCAGTCCCCAATGTGCACACATCCTTCACATCAGCCGGCATTGCTGCCTTTTCCAGATATATTTAAGGTTTTACTTTGTTAAGCCACTTAAACCCATACCTAGGTCTAATCAAGTGTCAGGAAAGAAAAAAAGAAAACAAACCAGGTACAGGTTCACCCACACCTTCAACACTACCTGCAGTTCTGGTCCCCCTTCCCAAAAGCAACAAAGGGGAACAAATCCACAAGGACAGTCAGATACAGAACAGCTAATTAGGATGGGACTGAGCAGCTTTGCAGAGAGGTGATTGGAGTAGGGTAACAGCCCGACAGAGGTCTGTAAATACCACAAGTGACATTGAGAAGACGCATGGGGATCACTTGCTGAACCCTTTCCCCCAGAAGAAAAATGAGGGAGCATTAGATAAAGCCAGCAGGAGCCAGGTTAAAAAAGGAGGTGAAACTCTGCCAGAAGAAGTTGTAGGTGCTAAAGATGTACATTGGTTAAAAGTACAGGCTAAGTTAATCTTTAGTCTGATACTATACAACTTTGATCATGTTCTTGCATGCAGTTATCACTGAAGCAGGCTGTAGCTGACATTTAAAACTGTTTCAAATAAGTAGATATCATCTTATGCAATTCACGTAGCTACCATTGACTCTATAGGTGATCTTCAGGAAAAATACTGCAGGCAACATCTTCAAGTGTTATGTATCTAAAATTATGTCCCTTCAAATATCATTAAGTTTTTAGCTGTGCAAAATGTAGGTTAAATACTGAAAATCAGGCATTGTGTTTGAATTTGTACCTAAATTTAAACTCCTCATCTTGCAAAAATTCTGGGCCAGAACTTCTATAAAGTATTTCCAGTAAAATCCCACTTCTATTTTAATCAGCACAAAATTGCAAAGTTAAAACAGAATGAGCTAAATTCTGCAGGAAGATTTAACTGGTTTTCATGCCAGCAGCCTGGAACAGTCTATCCAGAGCTTTTAATTGAGCACATATGTAGGAAGGTAAGTACAGATAGTCGAAGAATGAAGAACTACTACATTAGTATTTTTTCTGTCTCAATAAACAAGTTTGCTTCATTAAACAAATCTGGGGCAGTTATACCAGCACTGACATTTTGGGGGTTTTGTACAAGCAGCAGCCCTTCCAGGATATTTAATGTGAAGGATACAGACCCTCATTCCAAATTTAGCATAGCAAACTGCTTCCTTTGCTCACAGAAGAGCCTGAGGGCTTTTGGCCATACTAAGAACAGTTATGGCTTGGAAGTAGTAAAGCCCTGTCAACTCTCAGATGGTGTAGTAAGTTTCTCACTTTTCATTGCTGCCATTTGGTGATCAAGCCACCCAGAATGAGCTGGTTTCTGTTGCTTCAACATCGCATCTGTAAGGAACCTCTCCCTCTTTCCAAATGAGAAGTCTGCAAAAGGAGGCCAAGTCCCCTGGGCCTGTCATAGAATCGTTTAGGTTGGAAAAGACCTTTAAGATCATCAAGTCCAACCGTTAACCTAACCCTGCCATCCCACCACTAAACCATGTCCCTAACCCCAGCCCTAGAAGGCAGAACAACACCATTTTCCCCATGTTTAAGGTCTTCCCAGAATGAGGAAGGGCACCATTAGGCCCTGAGTGCCATCCCCAAAAGCCAAAGCTTCAGTTAAGTGTCTTTCTGCTCTCACATTCTTGAAGGAGAGCAGCTTTGTTGCAGGCATTCAACAATACTTGTCTGGCATGTTCTTCCCCTGATGCTTACTGAGCCTACTAAGCATTGCTCGCTCTCTCTGCTTTCAGCAGTATACACTCGCACACTGCTGCACGCGTTGAGTTTCTAGTTATATCACAGTTTTCACAAAATATGGTGCTGATCTCAAGTGACTAGGAGACAAGGAGAGGCGACAGACTGCTAAGATGTCACCAAGGAAAGGTAGGGGAGAGCAGACAGAGCCTAACCTCTGTTGCATTTCGAGTCCCGGGAAGCTCCCTCATTCCCGCTAACACGCGGCTGCAGCTGGCTCACCACTCCATTGTGCGCAAGTCACTTGCAGTCTAAAGCTCCTCTCAATTTTGTTCCGACTACTTTAAGACCTTTGAAAACATTTTTAATTTCACTCAGTAAGTGGGAATGGAGCCCAGCTCCCAGACCAGCAATCTGAGAAGAGAAAGAGAAGAGAAAACAGCTTCCTCTGAAACAAGGCATATTCTCAACCGCCTCCGAGCTCCATCAACTCTGTTCTGCCAGTAGTCTGCAACATAAGGGTCTCCTACAATTCATCCTCCTAAATAAGCGCAGCCCCTGAGCAGCTGCCACGCTATTCCAGCCATTGGGCTTCCCACACAGCGTTTTCCTGGCAAACGGCGCTAGCAGCACGCAGCCCCAGCAAGATGCACGAGATGGAGGCCATTCCTCAGGATCTATGTAAACTCCCAGGATTAGGTGGCCTTGCAGTCTCTGTTGGTTGCCTGCTTTTACTTCACTCAAGCATGCGTGAAACAATACAATTGATCCCACTACTTTATGGAGTGGAAGAAGAAGAAACTGCTAAGATCAAGTTGACATTTTGCTGTTTTGTAATACAAAAATACTTTTTCCTCTGCAAAAAGAGCATGCATTCAGCAATCAAGTCAGGCCTTAGATTAAAACTGGCTTAAGTATGTTGCTTTCCCTGGACTAGCTCCTATCCCGTGCTAATATCATGGCTTTCAATCAGCTTGAACAAGGCTTAATTGGCCTTTTCAGTCTTTTAAGCCTCTCCTGTAGCAGTTTTCTGAATTGAGAAACATCCTCTCAGCCAGCAGCCAAACAGCTGTTCTAGCACATGTAGCAAGGTCTGCATCCAGGGAATTTTTATAGCCATGCAACTTGCACAACACCTCCTTAGAACATTACAAGAAGTTTTCAGAGTTTCATATCGAGTTTTTAAGATAAAGCCTAGAACAGCTCAGCTGAGGGTCAGAGTCTAAACCTACAAATGCTTAGAACAAGTGTAGCTAGTAAAACCAGACCCAGATCGTGCCAGATGCAAACTGAAGCAGCTCTACCAGCAGAGCCAGATTGCCTTAGATGCCTCTTCTAGCCTGTTAGTTTTCAAAAGAAACGCGTCTGGCTTAGAGTGACAGCAGGAAATCCATGATCCAGAACACAACCCCATCTAATCACCTTCTATCTGTTAGGAAGCACACAGCTCCACTGCCAAGGTAAGGTACACTCCATGGCATCCTTCTTGGGCTCTGTGGGACCAGCGAGACTGCTGCAGCCACCAAAACCAGCTTCCTCTGTGTAATGCTCAGCACACCACTCGTTACCACACCAGCAAGGCTAGGGGGAAAAAAATTGTCTGTTTTTACTGTCTGGTTTTGGCACTGAAGGGACACCTGACCAAACGAGCCGCTTTGTTACAACACATCACTACTACTCTGATCTTCCCCAAAGATGTGAAATAATGCTGGTTTTGCTAGATTAGAGCAGCTACTAATAATTCAGGTCAATCAATAAGCACCTACACCTCTTCCTAGAAACCTGTTTTGTTCAAAAGACAAAAGCTAATAATATTTTGTCTACCATTACTTCTGAGTCTAATCTTTGTGTCCCAAGTTCCATACGAATAATATCAATAAAAGCACTTGTTACTGGGCAGCAGTTTATCTGAAGTCCTGCCATACACAGCAGAAATAAGCACTTGACACAATTACATCCTGATCACGTACATGCATTTGTCTTTTTGTATTTGATGTGGCACCATATGCCAACATTTCACAGGTAGCGACTACAAATTATCAGGTTACTGTGGAGGTGGTAGAATGGAGATGTCATCATTTTCCATCCCTTCCACACGAGATCATCAGTAACAATTTGATCCAAAGTGACATCACTAAAGGAAAACCATTTGGTAGATCTTTGCTCCTCCACTAATTCAACGGCCAAATAATATTTGCTAGAGAACCCAACCTTATTTCCATGGTTGTCACCAACTTGAATAGGAAGAGCAATACGTAACACAATCACAAGATCCTCCCCAAAGATTTAACAGCAATCATACTCTAGAAAGATATGAAAAGAGTAATAGCATGCTACTTTGAAAATCTGTAAGAAGATATATAGGGTGGTTTGGGGTTTTTTTGCTACAATAAACACTTAGAACAAATACAAAATTAAATTATGCCCTGCAGAATGAGCAACAAAGCAATAGACACATTTTTATAGTGTTTTCTCTGCCTGCAACATGTAGAAAATCTTCATAACACCAACACTGGTGGTTCTGCTAGGATCTGTAACACATCTTTTTCTAGTTTAACAACTGTAAAATGACAAACAACACTAATGCTACTTCTTTCAGCCCTGGTGCTATAAGGGTATGTGTCCTCCACCCCAAGCAGATGCCGGAATCCTGCCAGCATCCAAAATGAATGGAAACATTTTTATACACAGATAATATTTTAGGGCTAAGGAAGTATTAACTAGAAGCACTTTATATGTTCTTAGTAAGACTGTGCCTTTTGGCTGCTTTGTGTTTTGGCACGCAGTAAGTCCAACTCTGCATGACTAACAGTTGTTGAAAAGGCAGGTCAGTTCTGCCCTTTAATTAGAGGGAGGCAGGGGAGCTCAGGAAGAACAGTGCCTTTGGTCTTTTCTCACTGCGCAATGCCTGTTTCCATAAGCCAGGACACTGGGGAGACAGCACTGATGAAAATGCAGTGCCTGAAGCCTCAGGACCTTGCACAGCAGCTCTGTGAAACCACTGCCCATTAAATCTTGTTCTACTTTTGCACCATTTGCAGCATCCCCAGCAGCAACACAATCAAAACACATCCTTTATAGGGTCCAGGGACCCAAACACTTTGTCTGATAATTTCCATATCATTTCATCCTGTACAATTAGTAATCTAGCACCTAGTAACTGCAAGCAGAAAATATTGATCCATAACTCTCTCCATTATGAAAAATTAGCAGCACGCCAGGATTCCCATTATAATCAGAGTCAAGCAATACTTTCATAAATCATAGTTGCTAGGAAATGTTATTATATGTTGCCAGATACCACAAAGCGATGCACCTTACACAAAGCACTTTGCAAAGCGCATGCTGAGGATTAGGTACCATTACTCTGTCAGCCCACTTTTCCCCTGGCTCCCACACCTCTTTTCACAGCAACACAGCCAGCTGTAAGAGGCTATCAGAACCACAACTGACCCCAAAGTCAGCCCAAAGCATAAAATACAGATAGAATTTTTCTGCCCTACCTGACACAGGATATCTTTGATATACGTCCCACACAGTTTATGCCCCCGCGGATCAATATAATCCATGATGTCCCAGTATTTTGCTGCAATGCTGTTGTCCTTCTGCTGGTCACAACAGCCAAAGTTTTCATAGGCAGAACAGAACTCCAAGTGAAAAGGGGGCTGGAAAGGTGGCCCGTAATCCAGACACTGAGGATGCCCCAGCAGACTGCCTATCAGGCACAACAAAGAGAGGCAAAGAAAGACATGTGGGCAAGAAAAAGAAACTCCAGAGCTGCTGCTGCCAGTGCATGGCCAAACATTCACTTCCTTCAGTGTAGGTTTCCTGAGGTCAAACGTATAGACATCCTTGACTTCTTTGTGGTATGGTTCATTCATCCTATCCATTTTATTAATTGCCAGCCAGAGAGCTCAGCATTCTCAGGCTTGCTTACATTCTCTCTCCCTTCTCTCTGAAGTTTACTACTTGGCAGGAAAGAAACCCTCCGGGCTGCCTCTTTGCTATTTCACACGTCACATAGCTGAACCCTCCCCTCTGGACATTTCTCATGCCCCTTGTAGCACTCGTAAATCTAATCCCTACATCTTAGTCTAAATTGGCTGAGAAATTCTTCACCAAGAAATATGAACAACAGATCAAAATACAACATATGATACCCACATACAGAAGCTGGCAATCTCTCCCCATTTACAAAAACACACAAAGAGTAATTCTCAGTTGCTAACTACTATTTTACCCAGCTCTTAAAAATGCACCAAACTGGGGTCTGGTTTCACAAAGACTGGATCGGGGCCATAAAATACAACCTAATTAAGGCAACAGTTAACCATAGGTACAAGTAATTTCAGGACAAAAAGCTTTACAGATACATTGTTGTTACCCACAAATCCAGGTATAAGTTCAAGGAGAGTGAAAAGAGAAAACACATTTAAGGCACCAGAACAATCTGATGTTGACTGATATTCTGTGGTAACCCTGTATTTAAGCTAATTGATTTTAGTTTTATCTCAGTTGACGTTAAACTGATTTAAAGATGCACAAGATTTTTTTGCCCACTTTTCCCTCTAGCACAGCCTGCAAGAGGATCCCACCCATCAGCTACTGGAGTACAGCATCAGCTGCGTAAGATCAGCAGCACACCAAGAGCCTAAGTGATCCAGCTAAGAGGAGTAAATCAATAAATCATGCTCTCCCCTGCCACCGCAGGAGCAATCAGCCAGTCAGATGCTGTTAGGAAGAGGCTTTAGCATGCACCCACTCTCTAGACACTTCCATACAGGAAAGCTTACTAGAGAGCAAGGCTTTGCAATCTGTTCTATTTCTTCTGCAACACTAGGAGCCAATTAAAAAAAAAAAGCAATTAGCTACTTCTCCTCTCCACATATCCTAGGAGATTATGACCAATACACAGATACCCTTTGTGCTGTTTCCAGCAGTTTCCTACTTACTATTTTCCCTCCACAGGACACAGGCAGAACGTGGGGAAAGGGAAGCTGAAGGGAGAACCTCATGTATAGGAACACCTCCACTCACCCAAAACTTTTTCCCCCTCTCCCCACACATTGCCATTTACTCCTGGGGTCTATCTGCATGTGGCTCAGGGGGAAGTCAAAGCTCCCAGTCCTAGCTCTCAATATAACCAGCAGCATAACATGACAGCCAAGAAAACTCTGTAATTACTAAGTCCCCTCAGAGTCTTATTGGGAAATGACTGTTTAAAAAAAACTCTGGGTTTTTAACCATCACCTGTTTTGCTGTGACTAACTTGTGGCACCTTGATTGCCCAACAGCCTGCCAATAATACCATCTCTGCTTAGACTTCAGTAAACCGGAAACAAACATGCCAATCAAAAGATTCAGCACTGTCATGAGATAAAGCAATTTAAATCCAAGTATTTAAATCTGCTGAAGTATCAGCTTATCTCAATTAGTGCTCTCATACATTGGAGACAATCATTGAAATTAAGGCATTACACTTCATTTTCCCCTGGCAATTGACTTATTTTGAAAGCACAATAAAAAGCAAGGATAATAAGTGAGGTTATTCACGTACTCTTAATTTGTAACTACAGTCTACAAATTCCCTAGGCTTTTAATTCCTTTAGCATTACTGGGCTCTTTAGGGTAACTAACATTATCCATCAGTTCAACCCTCTTCCATTAATGGAACATAAGCACTTCTCTCCCTTTCCTAGGGATGTGCCACTTGCAGACAAAAACTCAGAATACTTACCTGTATAGAGAATTGCACTTCCCAATTACTGGATACTTCAGTCCAGGAGGCAAGAACACTCCTTGCTGCTCTCTGATGAGGGCAGAAAAGCTAGAATAGCTTTACTCACATTTGGCAAGGAGAGAACACATAACCTCCCACAGAGCCTACTGCTCACATTACCCAAGGACTCCTTGTAGTGAGCAGTCTTTTTTTTTTTATCCCCTCCTTCAGCCAACAGACCACCTCCAGCTGTTCCTTAAATGTAACAAGACAAGACTTAGCAGAACTTTCCATGCACCATCACAGATAAGAACACCAATTACAGAAAGCCCTGAGGAACTGTAAATTCAAACCAGTACAAGGCACACAAATCCTCCGATTCTGCAAGGAGCACTCCAATGGTAACACATGCACCTGTTTAGTGCTGACAATATCCTTACACTGCTCAGAAAGCTAAGGCAAGTCCCGTCCGCATTTCCAGCATGAGCCAGCTGCTCAGAATACAAAGAACACGGTGGGAAGAGGAAGGGGGTCAAAACACACAGGGTCCACACATTTAAAAGCAGCTGACACTTCATTAGCTTGCTTTTCCTGAACTTTAGTAAAGACAGTCTTAAAACAGGAAAGCACAAGCAAGAGCATCAAAAATATGAACAGAACAACAGGGAAAGAAGAGGACAGAACTGAAGTGAATTGCAGTTTTCTGATATCATTATGTTAGGCTTTAACATTAAAAATAACAGGTGGAAGAACAGGACAACAGGCACTGGGTCTGTGGACCAGAAGATGTGGATTCCCTGAACAAATTCCTTGTCTCTGCATAAAGGAGATCAGTGAAGAAGAGATATGCTATTTGTTTCACAGAAGGAAAAAAAAAAAAAAAACACCACCTCACAGAAGTTTTGTATACAGGATGAAGATGTCAAGGCGTAAGAAAACCAAACCCAGATCATAGAATTCAGAACCAAAGCAAAATACTCCAGTCCATTAGCAGTTACCATATTCAAGGTACAACACACAACCTTGAAAACACAGTATGCACTGAATAACTTACACAGGAAATTTCACTCAGAACTTGTGATCTGCAGATTTGTCTCAGCTGTAAGTACCTTGGTGTCAGGAAATAGCAAGTTTCTTGTAGGACATGAAAGAACAATGCTTGAGATAGTTTTGTGAAAGCTGGGACTGTGCTGCTCTTCAACTTGCTGACTGCTGCATGGTAGTTCTAGCACCAAGAGAGAACATGATCCCTGGCAGCAATCCCGCTTCCAGAAGTCACAGGAGAAAGCTGTGAGCACAATGGATTAACAGATTTTTCTCAAAGACATCGAGCTCCTCTTTATCCTCTCATTCTCCTTACCACACTCTTCTTGCCTCCACCCCAATCTCTGCTGCTTTGTTTCAAACTTCTTCCTCAATAAAGAGATGGTTTCTCAGCTGCTGCAAGGCACATGCATCTCCCACAGGCAGCTAAGGGGACAGAAGGAAAATTGTATGGGAGCTCTCAAGAAGCAGCAGGAGCTCTAGCATTTAACTTTTATACTGTTCTGTGTTAGGTTATATGATAAAAGCTCCCCTGCGCACCCACAAAGGAGCAGAGACACAACGGAAGGGGGAAGCCCAGATAATACCCTGCTGGGATGCTCCCAGGCCCATTACAGGACAGTCACCAGCCCATCAAAGTCCCATCTCTGCAAGTCCAGAGGAGCAGAGGGGCACAAATTAAGGACCCCAGGGAAGGGACACCCCTGCCTGGTTGCCTCCCAGGGTTGTCCCAGGACAGCTTTTAAACAGTCAAAACTCAGCTGAAGACCTCCAACAAAAACCTAAGACTATTACAGAACAGGGAAGCAGCATTCTTAGGGATTCAGAACTAAACTAACACACAGGTCTGGAATGACAGATAATTGCTGCTTTTTTTTTTTATAAAACATACAGTTACAGCAAGTAGCTCACTTAATGTTTAAGACACATTGTCTTAAGTCACATATCACAAGACCCATATTAACCCAGACCAAAATCCCAGATAAAAGCTGAGTGCTTAAAATCACAGCTGTATTTAACCATATACTATTATGCTATTAAAGATATCTTTTATTTCATTTCCAGAGGTAGTTCAAGCAGTTCATCCACAAGAGTTCTACAGACCTGTCATTAAACCAGAAGTAGTATTTGGAAACCATTTTGTTGTTGTTTTCGAGCAAACTGGAATGCTAGTTTGTGACAACACATTAACATTTGCTTTGCAAGCACAGCAACAGTGCATATTTCAACTCATAGGCAAGACTGCAAAAAGATTCTAGAAAGTCACTTCCACCAGGCAGAGAAGTTTTCATAGTTCCGTGCCTTTGCCCTTTCAAAGCACTGCAACACTAGCTTTCCTCTGTAGCCACGCAGGTGTGGCAATCTTTCACTCTTCTCCTGCCAATAATGTGAAAACAACCCCTGAACTGGGCACACAACTGGTAAGCATGACATGTGGGAAAACTGACTTTGGATATGTTGAAGTACATCATCTATTTGAACCAGCTACAGTAGATCTTCACAACCTATAATTCTTCTCAATATACAATGCAAAAAATGTGACACATGCCTCTCCATTTTCCATATATTTCAGGAAATGATTAGTTATAAGCAGCAAGCTATGTAACCTTTACAGGTTGAGAATGGATGTTCACACTACATCATGTACTGTTCCTAGGTTATTACACCTATTATGAATGCCACTGCTAGTCCTGAAAGGATTTTGACCTACATTCCAGCAGTCATTTAAATCACCATTTATGCATCTAGGAGGATCAACTCTACAATACTATTGATACAGAAGTTCCACACCATAATATTAAATGTTTTTCAAGATGTATTTGAAATCAGTGCTGTTTGCACTTCACACAGAAATATGGGACTAATATTAAATAAATTCTTCAACCTTATCAGTTGATTTATATTCATTTTATTATAAAATAAACCAAAAAATGTTTTTACAGACATATATAAAACAGTCTAGTACTGAGTCAATAGGGTCTGACTACAAGTTTTAGAATAGCGCCAATACAGAAGTCAGTTTCACAGAGAGGGGAAAAAACCAAAGAAAACACAGCAAGAACCTGAAGGATGCCTTCTAATCAAAGTTGTACAGAGGAATCTGAAAGACCAGATATTCTCAGGTAGACAGGATTGTGCTTATTCACAAATTTCTTCAGTATCCGAAACCTTTTCACCTGAGCTTTGCAGCCTTGGTGTGATACATATTTAAAGTACTTGCAACCTAAGAAAAAAAAAAAGAAAAAGCATTGTAAATTATACCACGATCCAGGCAAATACAAAATGCTTTCACTGTTTAAATAACATGCAAACATCTAAGTTTTCAGCAATAAAAGGTAAAAAAGTAATCCAAGACAGGCACATTAGAGACATAACTGCAGCATTAAATAATCTATCCTTATTTGACCCATAAAACTTTCCACATGTACATAACTGTATGCTGTGTCTTGCAAAATATTTTCCTCTTTTGTTTTTACTTTTCAAATAGATTAAAAAGTAAAATTTCAAGAGAGTAAAGAAGCATTGATTTCATGTATTAACTTGTGTTGGATAAGGAAAAACAGAGGCTCATACTGACACCAATAAGCACACAAGCTTCATTAAAGAAAGTTAGAGGTGGGAAGAATTTTATTAGCCATCTGGAAGCTCAGAGATACTTGATAACAAATTACTGAAAGCAAAAAAGAGACTTTCGGTCTAAGAAATTATTTTATGAAGTCCAGAAGTTATATAAATGTTGACAGCAAACAAGTTGCCTATCAACCAGAAGTCCAAACCAGTATACGAGCCATGGTCTCCACACCATATTCTCATTCTCAGTTTAGCAGCTGCTCCTTGGCCTCATACTCCACTTGGTTTTGGCAGCGTTTCAAAGAATGCTACTAAAGAGGTTATGATCTTCACCTTCTTACTTTTTTCACTCAAGATCCAACCTCCTCCTCTTTCCTGCATTACAACACCCCCATGGTTCTTAAGGACCAGCTGATACCCAGTATTTGCTGGAGACACTGCCTAGACTAGCATCCAGCAAGCAAACTCCCTGCAGTCCTCACAAGGTTCACTCAGAAGCACATTGTGCATTTTTTAAATTGTGGTTTGAAGATTAAACAACAAGATAAACAGTATTTTGACTGCTCAACAAGGCCAGATAAAACAGAACTCTAAACCAGGATAAGAAAAGTTATGCAAAATAAACCTCACTGTCAAATATCAAAACAATTTAAACACTTTTTTTCTCATGTTCAGCTTCAAAGATAACAATCTTTCCTAGAAGAAAAGAAACTGCATTTCTTCCAGGGAGTAGATCAGCTGCATACCAACTCATTAGGGCTAGATCTAGACATTATTTCTGTTTTATGTAGTGAAAAGGAAAGAACATTTAGTATTACCCCTTCCCAGTAAGATTCCAGCCACCAGAGCTTTTTCATATGAAAGGCTTTCATTTTCCTGCCAATTCTTTTTTGCCAAGTAACGACTAAAATGGAAGGCTGGCCACCAGTCCTTTCTGGAGTTCCACTCTTGCTTGATCCAGTCAAGATGCTTCTCAGAGCTGGAAAAAGGTAAAAAAGTTACAGAAAAGCTTAAATTGGGATGAAAAGATGATAGGAGGACATAAGCTTTATCATCAGCTTGCTACAAGTCTCAGATTCCCAGCCTAGGCACACCGACCTTACACTGCGGACTGAAACACTAATCTAAACAGAAACAACTTTTTTTTTGATCTCTGGCAACACCAGTGAGGCAGGAGGTAAACTCTAGCAGTCTTATTTAGACTGGGCAAAAACACAGATTATGGTGTGAAATGAAGCGAGCCTTTGACTTGTGTGCCAGTTTGTCAACAGTAATAAAGTTTCTTCAAGTTTGTCAACAAATTAGTAGTATGAAGGGGCTGGTTTGTTTTCAGAAGCAGCCTGTGTTACTCTGCATACGCAAAGACTACCTTATGCCAAACACTTATCCCAATAACTGTTATGCAATAAATACCTTAAACCAAGCATTTCAGAAATGGAAACTATCTACAACAGAGAACTGATATTCCCATAAAACAATCAAGATGCCCAGTATATTTCAAGATACTCTGAAATTATGTCTTCAAATATAAAAATGTAGGTAAAGTTAGAGTACCATACCATTTTTAGTAACGCTATGCAACAGCACTCCTAGCTTTAATCCACTACCTTCTGGACCTTAACAGCAGATGCTGTGTAGGTGGAGGTGGCAATAAAACTGCAAAATGGGACAAATTAAGTACTGAATTAATTTACTGTAAATGTATAGGGCTTAAAAACAACAACACCCTGGCTGTTGGGTAAAATAAAGTCTAGACATTAGAGGCCTTCTGGGCGCAGATTGCCCGAGATGGCTCCTTCCGAAATCAGAGGCCTTATCTTGTCAGTGTTGGTGAGGACACATCAATCCCCAGGCACACTGGCTCAGCATTTAAGAATACACTGGCTGCAACAGCTACCCACCATCACACAACACACCAGTCCGTACAGTACCAGTCATGCCCCTGTTGCAGCCCAGCAATCCTCAAACCAGCTTCAAATAATGTACGCATAGTAACAGAGCAGAAGACCCAACTTGGAAATTTTCAAACCCCCTGCCCCAAAAGAGGGAGACTGGCGACAAGCAGCAAATGCTACCCAAACATCTGAATAACTCTTTCTGCATAAGCATACAACCTGGTTAAAAAAAGCAACTTTTAAAACTTTTTTTTCAGGTGATGATAATACCAGAAATTTGGAATTCCCTTCAATATTAATTTCTTCTTTCCTCCCAATGAAAGCGCACTGCAGCTAAGCGCTGCCACAGAACTCAGGGTAGGCTGGAGAGTTCCCTTCACCAGCACAGAAGGCAAAGGCTACACAGTGTTGCTTTGTCAGTTGCCCAAAGGTGAAGGCTTGAGACAATGTGCTAAAACCAAATGTATCAGATACTTACATTACAATTTGTTTCACCTGTCTTGCCAAACAGCTCCATGCTTTTACATTTTCCTTCCAGCCAGCATAATCCAAGGCTGAAAAAATGACTTCTAGCCCCAGTCGACGTTTTTTTCTTTTCTCTGGAAAAAGATTAGGCTGATTTTTTAATTACTTAGATCAAACTGAACTCATTAGTAAACAACAAGTGAAATACAGTTCTCCATCCTGCCTACCTAAATGTTGCTACTTCCCCTGTTACTGAGGGTTCCCCCCACTGCCTTCTACATCTTCCAAGAGACAAAGTTAAGGAATACTAACATCCTGGCTCAAGAGCACAACTCATACCAGAGACACTGTCCCTCCACTCATCCTGCTCACAGTCTGCTGCTTACAGTAGTCGCTATTTCCAGAGCTCACTAATCTGTGCTTCCAATGGGCACGTGTTCTTCCCATGGGAAGGGAACACAGTGCCTCTGGAACTCTTAAAATCCTGAGATGCCACCAAAAAAACCCCAAAATCAAATCTGGGACTGATACAAATAAACCACACATTTTACATCAGCAGTTCTGTAGCAGCAGAGTTCTTAAAACAACACTTGTAACTTTTCCCACATTTACCTGCTGTGATAGTTCATTTATCAGTATAAATTTCTTAAAGAAAGAAAATCAGTCCCCTAAATAGCTACAAAAAGTTAGCAAATGTGTCATGAATGAACAGAAAAAGGGAGGTTTCAGCCAGGAGGTTGGTTCCACACCACTCCCCCCCCCCCCCCCCAAAGCAGGAAATCAGAAGGAGAGAACAATCTTGATTCAAGGACATTTCACCAGTCTGCTGACTTGCTGGAACATATCACATCCAAGATGACATGCAGCTTGGAACGCAATTGATCAGTACAGAAAAACAGTCTCCAGATTGGAAGACTTTTCTACCAGCTTGAAGATAACTCTCACTGCCTTGAAGAGGAGGCAGATTATGTTCTTTGATCAGTAACAATGAACTAAGGCATAGATCCATCTCAATTCCCCCAGAAGAGAAATAAAAAAAAAAATATCAATCTGAGACCCCAAAAAGGGAATAGAGACCCTGGCATTCAGAATAGGGTACCTAAAAAAAAGTATTTTTTTTAAGAGTTATTTTTGAGATCCTGGCTGTGCCTTACAACAGTTTACTTTGATCAGCCTTTAAAATAAGAAAGGCATTTGTTCACAGAGTTTGTAAATGCCTGCTCACACATCCAACTGTGATCAGAAAGTTAGCTTTGGGGTTTGGGGTTTTTTTTTTATTCTTAACAAACGTGACTCCTTCAAAAAGCAGAAAGGCAGCTGCAGCATAACTTCAGAACATGATTCCAGATTAACATAAAGGAAAAGAACAAAGATATTTAAAGACTTACTTGATTTCTGAAGCATCGTATTAAAATCTATCATTAGTTCATGAGAAGGAACAATATCATGCAAGATCTGAAAAAATAAAACCCAAAAGAACATCAGATACATTATTTTAATGTGAAAACTTTTGAAGACTTCTATCTGATCAAGAGAATTACGGGCTTCAGACTTTTTGGTGGCTTAATTACGAAAATTAAGTAATTTGGTACCTTAGCGCCTTGATATAAAGAATGAGTATCTAGGTCCGTTTTGCACATCTGTGACACTACTCTGACACAATGGATGAAATACCTTGACAGCTGTTGGAAAACACTGCATGTGACAAATACAACATTCTCGAGGAGCAGCCCAAATCCACATCCAGTGTCCCCTTTTTAGAAGGTACCATCATTTCCTTCCTAGGCCAACTCTAGCTCCCCTGTCTACTGCTCTGTGTATTGCACCATGGTTTCTGGACCTATCAGACTAGTTCTTTGATTCGTCACTATCTTGGAAGAGACTAGTGTATACAGCCACTGCTAAAAAGTGCTGAGAAGATGGAATTTTATACATATATGCTACTGTTTTAACGTCTAAACTTTATGAAGCTGTTTTAAAACATTTGCCTAACAAAAGCACATTAGTGCCATCAAGTGGCAAAACAGATTGCAAAATACTGTTTGCAAGAAGCTACCAAGATCAGTGAGTAAGGACCAGGAAAGCAGGAACGTAAAAGCAACTCTACAAAAGCTTAATACAGCAAGGCCTTGTCTGCCAACAGCCAGCAGAAATTAACTTCCATTTTAGCTTAAATGCACGGCTCACTGAAAAGCAGCAGAGAAACTAATTGCTAGACAGGATCAGTATGTGAAAGAGCAAGCATCTCATGATTTCTTCAATATTGGAAAGATCAAACTAACAAAAATTAATTCATGTTATATACAAGACTGCTGATACAGACTTCTGGAACTGTGTAAACATGTTCTCTGAGCTTGCTTACCAACTTGAAGTAGTCATATGATGTATCAGTTAAAGGCAAAACAAAGACTTGAATTCAAAGACAGTAAAGGATGCTGTATGCTCCACCCATTAGCATCCCTCCCACTGACTTTCCTCTAACCCTCTGCTTTCCACAAAGAATACAATAGGGTAAATAATGTAACATTGGTACAACTGAACCAAATTGTCAGACCACCACACAACATGAACGACAACAGACTGTAGCTACTCTATAATACATACCTTCAGCGCAGATATGAGCGATTTCTTTGATTCACCATGTCTCTTCAGGAACTGATAGAGGTAAACATGAGCATTGGGATTAGCAGGAAACTTTGAGTTGTAGGCATATTCATTTAATACTTGGCGTGCTTCATTATGGTCTCCATAGAACTCCAACAACTAAGAGAAGTTAAGTCTGTCATTAGTTTGCCACATATTAACAATCAAACTCTTACAACTAATTTTGGGCTGCCACAGAACTATCCAATAGCACAGTCTGTATCTAAGAGTGCAGCATATTAGATAGGACTAACACTAGCATATTTTCATTTTACTGGCTACTCTTACCACCGATAAATAAAAATTCACACATAGAAGCTGCTACAGGAGAAAATTCCTTTAGCACTTATTTAACTGTCAAAGAATTACCAGCACTTGCTCACTGGAAAGAGATATTGAAGGAGCCTGCCATGTCTTTAAAGAGAGAACTCAATGAGAGAATTTGGCAGCTGTCAGCACCAAGCAAAATTCCCTAAGAGCTGCTTAGAAAAGTCAGAGTTTATCAACTTTTACAAAAAGTAAATTTCAAAGAGATTTTAAGATTAACTTTATTTCTTAATTACAAGTTCTAAGCATATATTTTAAAAAACCCAAAACAAAACAGAGAGGGACTGCATGTTTGGTGTCTTTAACATTTAGTGTATCCAGAAAAATACACTGCTCTGCCAAAAAGAGAACTTGCTTTCAGGAATTTAAACAAAGCAGCTGTGCTCCAATTTCTGTATAGCACCATGAAAACAAAATATGCAAGCTGTTTGTCTATTTCTTTTTCTTGTCAATGCACAGATAAAGTCCTTTTTGTACTCTGTGCAGGCTCTGCAGTTCTATGAGGAGTAAACTGTGCTCTAAATCAAAACCAGCGAGATACACGTAACAGATGCATTGCTTTTAAAATACTTTGTTGTCACCCACACACATATAAAAAAGCTGCAGACAGACATCTTCATGAAAACTAGACAGGGAAACTCAAAAGGAAGATACTTGTAAAACACGCCCTTACATCCACATAGCATTTCACAAAGAGATCCCAGACTCCGGGTATTTTAATTATCTCCTTTAAGTTCACTGCTGCCTTCCGAAAGCAACTGTGCATTTCCTGTTCAACAGACAAGTCTTCAAATCCATCCTGACCTACCAAAACACAAAAGAATGCCACAAGGTTAGCTCTGCTAATCAAAAGGGGTCTTGAAAAGGTGGTGCACCTAAGAGATGATCACATTTTGCTAAGCAAGGACTCCAGTCAGACAGCTTTTAAGAGGCCTCAGTTCCCTCACTACTGAAACAAGAAGTTTACACTGTTCTTCAATCAAATTTATTATCACCCAATTTCAACTCATGGGGCATGACAAGTAGTATTCCAAGACAGGATGCTACCAGCACAAGGTCCGTAAACCAATTTCAATACTTAGTTTCCACAGAAACAAGTAGAGACCCAAGGTAACTGATAACACACAGCCAGCAGGTATATACAGAATTAGACACCACATGCAAGCATCAACCTTTGTTGACCAACCTTTAAAGAAACTGAAATTCATATACAAGTTTTGGGGGTTTTTGCTAACACAATTCTAGCAGCCCTCAAGCACTTATGAGCCTATTAAGTTACTGCTATAAGTGAATACACTCCTTTGAATCATTATTTTAGATAACGCTGGCTAGATATAAGAAACATGATTTGTGGAGAGAAAGAGTTTCAGAATAGCATTTCAGGACACTTCAGAAAAATTCAGGTCAGTGCATCATTTTGGCACCACCATCATTGCTGATATAGAACTACATACCATCCAAACCACCAAATTCTGAAGTCCAGATTTCCCTTTGGTACCTTTATATGCAGACAAAGGCAGAAGAGCAGCCTGCATGGAAAAGCTGTCATTGCAAACCATGGTGTGTCTGCATGAGCAAGCAAGTTGAAGTTCACAGCTCAATACAAAAACAACACTGGGACTTACCATGCTCTAACAAGATGGTCTTCTGCTTAGACCAGCTGTAGTAGTCCAACAGTCCCTTGTAAGCTTGAATCAGTTTCATTTCTTTATCCTGAATGGCTGTTTGTTCTCCAAACCTCCAACTTTCTGCCAGGGACAGGTTTTGGTAAGCTTCATCTATCAGTCCATTACAAAGGAGATGAAAGGCATGCTCTAAACAAACCTGTAATTCAAACAGTCCATACCACAGCATTTCACATCACAGAGAGAATCTCAGCAATACAGTGAAGTTCTACACAGATGTGCAGGGAAAGAAGAGAGACTTGTTACTGACATGCATATAAAATACTGCAAACATGGTTAGTAAAGTACTTTAATTAAAGAGCATTTTACACAGATCCTTTCATCCAAACAGTATCTTTACATGAAATTTTGAAGAAAAATGCAAGAATGGGAGAATAGCAAGCAACCTGATCTAGTTAGTTAGCAGTGTCCCTGCTCACTGCAGGAGGGTTGGACTAGATGACCACTAGGGGTCCCTTCCAACCCAAAACATTCTATGATTCTATGATCACTGAGGGCAGGAAGATGAGACAAGAACCTCAGTAATTTTTTTCTGTCTGAAGATGCTGGAGAAGCATTACTAATCAAAAGCATATCTGACATACAAAGATGTATCCCTGGGAAGGGAAACGGCTGAAGCTCTTAATCTGTGGGGCAGAAAGTCACCCATCACATGGTGGACACTCAGTAGTACTTATCAAGGCAGCAGAAAGCAGTTGTCTCAAAAGCCTGCCTGTCACTAACAAGTGCTGTACCTATTTAAGATGATCTGAAAATGACCTGAGGAAATCCACTTCAGTTACATTTGCTACACAATTGCAGAACACCTGAAAGAGGGATGTCCTACCACCCTATCATGGTGATTAGGCACTGGATAAAAGTCTAAACCTTCAATTAGCTCTAGTAAACTCCTGTACAGAGCTTCCGTTGAAGGCCTTGAAAAAATACAACAGAATGAAAGAAAGAAGCATCATCACAAGTGAGAAACCGTCAAAGAAACCAAACAATATAGGTCTGAATAAGTCACCACAGGAAAGAAAAACTACAGCTGGGTGACACAGGGGTCCACAGTGTAAGGCCCACTTTTATATACAGATTAGCTACTCAAAGTGGGTGGGTAACAACAGCAAAATTTAAGTTTAACTGTTTAGTCAGGAGCACAGTAGCCAAATTAAGGACTGTAAACAAAACTTGGCAGGTGTTAGCATGTAATTAGAGGTTGCTGGGGCATGCATGAAAAAGAATGTAACCATTTCAAGTTAAAAAAATTAAAGGATCTAGGCACTTCTAAGGACTGATGATACGCATCTGATCAAATATATAGACCAAATGAGACACAGTTAGGTATAGGATAATGGTTAAATTATCATGCAATCGGTAACTCAGATCTACTATCTTTGACACTATTACCAGTAATACACTTCAAGAGAGAAATGCAGAAACTAACACTTGAGTAAGCATTCAGGTAAACATTTAGAAAATCATCAAGACTGCATTAAGTACACTCACCTTCAAATACCTTTTTACTCCTAAAGTTTTCATCTGTTCTATGAAAGAGTTGAATTCTTTCATGCTGCTATGGGAATGATGGCACAGAATTTCAGTTCCTATTCTCCAAATTATCTATTAATGGGGAGAAAGGGATTCAAAAATAACTTCAGTACAAAAAAAAAAGGGAAGTCACCATTATATACAGTCTTATCTGTATATAAACTTGTAGCTACTGTAACATGAACAGAAGCAGTGCAAAAGCAAAGAAAAAACATCTGAATTGCAAATAGAAAAGGAACATTAGGTGTCTACAGCTATAGTTACCTACTTATTCATCTAGTAGGATTTTTACAATCATTCAGCTGGTGCTTCACAACTGCTTGGTATAAACACAGTACTCCAGCAAAACTCATGAAACTTGCACGTGTCATGTTTTACCTTCTGTTACTGAAAACAGGATGTTTCAAAGTTACTGAAAACTTATGCTTCCTTTGATACATTTCAACTCAAACAAAAGGTATACATCATTCTCTGAACTTGGTAATAAAGATTATTTCCAACTAGATGTAGCTTACCATCTACATGCACTTGTTTTCAAGGTCGACGTAAACAATGTAACCAAATATTCCAACAGGTTGGCCATATTCAAGCACTCCATTTCTTTTAACAGCTCTGATCCCTTCCCTCCTGCTTCTATCTCCACACCTGCAAGGAGTTTTGTAAGAACTGGAGGAGCTGGCAAGGACCCAAATAAGCTACTAAATTTCAAACAGATTCTGACTGATGGCATACCAGCAGGGGCAGACACATTTACTGCTTTTCCATTTCAGAAGACTACATTAACAAAAAAACCACCAAACAACAAAACCCCTCAAAAAACAGGCTGCAAGCCCAGAGAATTCTTCAGGAGCACTGAGCACTCTGTCAGGAAAAAACATCAGACAGCACTGCAGATTCTCAGTATCCCTAAAAGCAAGATATGAGCAGAATTCAAGCTCCAGCAAGATTGGTTAAACTCACAGCAGAGGCATGCCTGTGCAGAGGCAGACTTTTGGCAAGTCAGCATGCTGCCTTGAGCACTACCAATGACAAAGTCTGGTGTACTTCCTGCAGCCTGCCATCCAAGAGTTTCTACATCAGCACCTGAATAGTTGCTTAGTTTTTGGAAGCTTCAGTGTCTTTGGGTTTTTGTGTTTCTACATCAGCACCTGAATAGTTGCTTAGTTAGTTTTGGAAGCTTCAGTGTCTTTGGGTTTTTGGGGGGTTTTTTTTGGTTTTTTTTGTTTGTTTTTTTTTTTAAATAGTTTAGCTTATAAAAGTTGCCTAGCTTTTCAGGTCTTAACCTCTGATGCTTTTTATTTAATTTAAAAAAAAAAAATTGAGACTACAATTAGTTAAAGACAAATGTTGGTCCTGAAGTATTATAGATTCTTCTTGCAAGTATTTTTTCAACTGCAAAAGAACTCTGATAAGGGATACTGGCTTACCTCTGATGGACCCATGTATTCTGTAGAAAAGTCTTTCTCCAGGGACTCAGTATAGAAGGTCAGAAACTCTGCAGCCCTTTTCCACTGCTTTTGTAGCATGGCATCCTGAACGTAACTTAAACACACTTCCTTGCTCTTCTTGAAGTTTAATTTGTGTTCACGGGAAGATGCTAAACAAACAAACAAACCAAAGAAATCAACCAAGCCAACAATTACCACAGCCCGTATTCAGGTAACAACATGCCGACCACGGGAAGATGCTAAACAAACAAACAAACCAAAAAAAAAAATCAACCAAGCCAACAATTACCACAGCCCATATTCAGGTAACAACATGCCGATCATTTCCATATTTCTCTTATATGAACTTTCTTAGACACTACAGAAAGTGTTCTTAAGCTAAATGGTTTTGAAGTTAAATGCATCTACTTGTCTGCAGGAAAGCAAGACTATGCCAAAAGCTGGAAATAGAACACGAAATGGCATCTTCCACAAGCAGCACACAGCTGCAGACACTTGAAGCAGTTAAGAGCCAGTTATTACACACTACTGCCCTAATGGAATTAGAAGACCATGGTGCTTTGATAACTTCACAGTATGTTTTGTTTAATTTGGGGACCGCTCTCCTCCCTTACTAATCATAACCTACATTTGTGACCCCGCTGTGGTGAAGATTTGCATACAAACAGGCCATTCCAGTACCAAAGGTTAAGCAATTCCTACTAAAACCAAAGACACACAGAGGAAATTATTCTCTTTTGAGCACAAGACTGGAAGGAGGCCACTTAACCTTTTTACATGGGTGACAGCTCAATTCCTGTTATAGCACAAAACTGAATCCTCATGTCCACACTTGTTTAAAAATCATGGCTATGTACTAGCTGTATGCCACAGTCCAACATACCCCTGTGACACCACTCAAGCCTTCTGTGAAGGATGTGCAGAGCTCAGCAAACCACCTCCTACCTGGACGCTATAGGCAAAGGAGCAACCCAAACACTGGCTCGAGGCAGTTTTACTACAGTGTGTTCTATAAAACGAGCTCTAACCAAACTATAGGTCTAGTCTTCACACCTATTTCTAACCTCCAAGGTTCTAAGTACTAAGAAAATAAAACCCATGCTGAACACCAGAAGATTAAATATATCAAGGACGTGGCTACTACAGGTAAGAGCTACTTTGCGAGTTAGAATTCATCCCATAAAGACAGAGGTGATGTGAAATGTTTCACTACAAAGCCATTTTGAAACAGAAACGTCCACGGAGGTTTTGCAGTCACCTGCATCCACAATGCTCTTTCATCATCAGTAGAATCATAGAATCTTAGGATGTTTTGGGTTGGAAGGGACCCCTAGAGGCCACCCAGTCCAACCCCCCTGCAGGAGCAGGGACACCACTAACCAGATCAGGTTGCTCACAGCCCCATCCAACCTGGCCTTGAATGTTCCCAGGGATGGGGCCTCCACCACCTCTCTGGGCAACCTGTTCCAGTGTTTCACCACCCTCACTGTAAAGAATTTCTTCCTTATTCAGCCCTTATTTTACCAGCAGCGTACAGGCCGCCTCCAAGCGCCTCGCAGGCTGCCAGGCAGGCGGAGCTGCCC